TACAAATTACAATCAGGGATTGGCTGAATACCTCATGAATAATTAATGAGTTTTTGAACTAACTGAACCGGTTAGTTATAAAACTCATGTTTAATTAATCAGTATTTATAACTTGAGTTATAGATCCTCTCATGTGAGCCATAGTTCAATGGTCATTGGAAGAATGTCTAATGAATAATTCATGAGTTTTAGAACTAGATAAAACACACTTTAAGCAAAAGAAATTAATTGTTTTGAAGGAATAAAGAGATCAAAAAGGTGCTTTTAATTGTCTTTGAACTGAAACAAAAGGAGTCGGCTGGAGAAAACTACAAATTGAATGTTTCAAGGAGAGAACGTTTGTTTCAGTAAACGAATTTACGTATTCTGTGGACATCATGTCTGAGAGATCTTGTAATTAAATTCGCGTTGGTTTATGATGCCGATCTCATTAGTGAGTTTCTACATCGTTTGTATTGCAATTTTTTTTGATAAAAACGCATGCTTTTCAGATGTAAGACTTCGATTTCTTGTTCTAGTTTGTTCTTAGACTTAAAACCACGTTTATCATATACACGTACTTACAAAAACTTTGTCATAGAGAACGTTCTAACTTTATTTCAATAGGAATATAAATCTAATAGACAAAAATACACTTTTGCGGAACACTTGCCTTTGTGTTGTTAATGTATCCTTTTGTGCTAAAGTATAAATGCTCTAAAATGTTTATTTCTTTAGGACAACACTTTCGCAATAGTCAATGTGAAGCGACGCCATTTTGTGCAGCAAAGCATGATGGTAGTTGTAATCCTCAAACTTATTCTAGACCCTAAAATACCTCTTCAAAAACCTATTTTACGCTTTATTTTTAGAAACAGGAAAACAACATCTACTTTGGCTGAGATACAGCAAAAACATTTCAGAAGGCCTGTTTAAACGGACTACAACTACTAACTCAGGGTCTGAATGAGGTTAATCGACTAGCGACAAATGGACAAAATAACTACTGACTAGCGACAAATTTGAACCAAATTTGCTGACTACCGACATTAACAAATTTACTGACTGGCGACATTTTCCAATATTCAAAGATGTTAGCTCCGTGAATACAAGCTTTTTTTATTTTTCAAGCAACTACATTCGAAATTTTCCGCGGAAAAAATAAATTTTTCTTCGGATTGGCTTCTTGAAGTTGAGATAAGCCACTCTAAAGCTTTGAGGGCCGGGCATCCAATTGACCAATCAATACTCAAGGATTCAATTTTTGGCATTTTAGAAAGAATTCTGTTTGTATAAAGGACCGTTTTAGATGCATTTAAACTTAATGTTTATCAACTTTTTTTAAATAACCGACTACCGACAAATGCCTAGAATTTTAACTGACTAGCGACAAATGCTTGAAATTTTAACTGACTACCGACATTGAGACCCCCCATTAAGACCCTGCTAACTACTAAGTACGGACCATAACTACTATCATGCTTTGCTGCTCAAGATGCTTAAGAGCATAAAAGAACGAGAGAAAGAAGTATCTAAAGTGCCTGGGTCTTAGTGCGGTGTGTAGTGCAAAATTCCATCAAATTCCAAACTCCGAAAATAACTCCTAAATATAATGTACTTTACGAGGCCGTAATGGAAGTGGATACTTCCTCTTCTTGGCCAGTCCTTGGTCAGATTTTGACTTTTTCTTTACAGGTTCTAATATCATTTTGCAACCTTCCTTTGAAGTGTCTTTCTTACATTCTATATATCTCTGAACATGGTCGGATAAATAGCCAAGAGGCGAAGAACCTTGAGAAAGAACCTGATAATGAAAGTCCCTGAGGTCAAAGTCTTTGCCTAATACATCCGTAGCTTTCTTTCTTGCATTCTTAATATCGATTTGCCCAATCATGTAAGCTGTTGCCTGGCCTGGGTTGCTTTGGTAACGAGTGATCTCCTTTTCTGCTAAGTCTGTCCCGTCCCATGCCTTCTCATCTAAAAGCTTGAGGGCCTCGGCTCTAGTCATTCCCTTGTAATGAAGTCCAGTATCGACTATGAGTCGGATTGCTCGCCAAAGCTAACGAGAAAAACAAGCTATGTTACAGCACGTACTGGAGTATATGAATAGTCAACTTTAGATATTTTGGTTCGATGACTATGTACAAAAGAACGCACACGAGGCTCCGGGAAAACAATGGATAATCTTGATTTATTCTTTTATTTCCCTGGAGCCTCGTCTGCAATTCTTTCGTGCATGGTCACTGATCCAAAGTCGGCTATTGCTTTCCCGAAGTCACATGACTGATCACGAGTCAACAATTTCAAGTCAAGTTGTATACTGTATTTAATCCACCCCGGCTCGAATTGAAACAAATGCGATTTGTCATGCGCGCATTTTAAGGTAAGTCTATTATTAAACAATTAGACTACAAGGTAAAAGCTTCGTGGTCACATGATCACCATTAAGTAATATTAGAAAATAATCCAAATTCCTCGCAAAATTCAAATCGAAATACTCCAGTTTCGAGATCTTATTTGTGCAGTCTTTACCTCGAAAGCATGTAATACATTCTTTTATTCAGCAGAGAGTCTATTGCGATGCAAAAACTATGTGTACAAAGAAGACAATAACAAAATATGTTTGATTGAATCTAAACTTTCACAAAAGAGAATTCGAAACTTGAGAATTGCCCTAAAGTGCTTTAAAAACTGAGGCTGCTGGTGTGAAGGTTCATTAGTGCTATACTAACCCAATTAACCCTTATTCATAATTCAAAATCCATGTTTTGGCTAACTTAATCAATCATTCCTTGAAATAGCGCGACTGGTCAGACGCTATAATGCTCGCTGCACGCAAGATCAAATATCAAATCAACATCAAATATCAACGCTAACCTGCCATTTTAGCATGCCAAATCTCTGCATGGGCTCGTCTTTGTAAGTATCGGTGTCTTCTGATATGAGGGGGTTTTCGGCGTAAAGCGCCCATCCTTCAGTGAATGCAGTATAGTATGTTTCCTTATTTAGCCATGCAATTGTGCCTCCTTGATCATCATAGAAATGCTCAACACCACCTTGGACCTTTAGAATGCAAATGGAAAGAGTTGTTAACATTCAGATCCATAGAGTCGCCTTATTAGAGTCGTGGTTAGCCACCACAGTTTTAGCGTTCAAAAATCTAGAAATTGAGACAAAAATCTAGAAATACATGTAGAGACAAAAATATAGAAAGAGAGACAAACTATAGAAATAGAGACTAAAATATAGAAATAGAGAATTATGGAATATGATCTGATTAGAGACCATCTGGAAGTACTTTATAAGGGACCCTGTATATGTACATCCATATATGAAGTCGTATCACAGATCCTTCTCGAATTATGATATGAAATTAAATTTAAATGGGAACCATTCTTAAAACAAGTACAGTAACGAAATATCTCATCTCCAACCGAGTTTACATCAGAGAACAGACAATGTTTCCTTTAATAATTTTTTCTTTCTTTTTTTCGAGCACGCGAGCGGCTCTATTTCTTTACAAAAATGTGGATATCTTTTTATACTTATTCATCTCTTTTTTGGTTACAAGCACCTTATTCTGTCAAATGAAAAGCAAAAAGAGAGCAATAAAACAGTTTCAGTTTCAGGCAACGTCTCTGTACTCTAATATAAACAAGATTATAGGCTGCTTTACACGGTACGATTTGTCGCGCGCGACTTGTAGTATACGATTTTCCTACTACAAGTCGTAGGATTTTAAGCAGTGGTTCAAAACCCTACTACAAGTCGTAGGTTGCGTACGACTGTTGTAGACAAGTCGTAGGGGCATTTACACTGCGCGATTCAAGTCGTATTACTACAAGTCGCACGAGACAATCGTGCCGTGTAAATCAGCCTTATCAGCCAATGAGAGCGCGCGATATATCATTTTTTTATTATAAATTCACATAAGATATCCTTACCTGTAGATGGTGACCGGGTCTAGCCTCGTGCGCGTTTACACTCCACTCTGAGTACCTTGGCCCAACTCTTCCCAAGAAGAAAGGAATATTGTAAAACGCACTTTTGGAGCACTCTTTATCACTTTGTTCGTAACTCTGAGCGCCACTTGAAGGGTTCAGATTTGGACTCAAATCGACAGGACAGTTTGGAGTGGTGTGTTTTGGTCCAGTGAAATAGAACATGTTTACAATTTTAGGATCCAACAAGCTCATTACCTGGTTGAAATGTATTGAATACATAGAAGTTAAGAATTTTTACTGGAGTTGTCTCAATGGTGACGACCGTGTTGTAAATCTGATACAACACTAGTGTAATAGTTCATGAATTATTAATGAGATTTATAAAAGTAGTTTACAACATTCTCGTCCGTTTATTACACGGCCTCTCATGTTGTAAACTATAGCGATACTCAATGTGACGTAAGCCTTTGTTATTCATGTGCCAACCAGAAGATGATTGGCTGTTGGAACAAAGCGACTTGCGAAAAGCCATTCTGATCATGGTTGACACGTTAACATAAGAATGAGTTTGCTGATAAACATTGAGTATCGCTATACCTAAGTTGCACATAACTATAACAAATAGGTCATGCAAATAAGCCATCATACAGGGGCGTTTACAAGACTTTCATTGTTGTTGGGTGGGGGAGGGGGGGGGCGTCCTTACATACCAAGTGTCACTATGACGTCATATAACCTCAATATAATGTCATATCAGTATATATATATTTTTTAGAATTTTTTTTTACATACAAGATATAATTATTTACAATTAAGGAGGAGAAAAACCATAAGAAACCTCCTCTAGATTCTCTTACATATAACGTCAATATGATGTCATATCAGTACATGGTTTTCGCGCTTTTTGAGCCTTGAAAGGGGGGTCACGGGCACCTTGCAACCCCCTCCTGGATACGCCCCTGATCATAGTTCATTCTTACCCTTCTCGCTTCTTTGAACCACATTTGCATGGCTTTCCATCGCTGTGGACAGTATTTTTGTGCACCCTTTAAATCACTGCACAGTCGATGTGCGTTTTCATCGCTTTCGTTCCGAGGTATGGGATCGTTGAAATAGCTATCAGAGGAATTGAGAAGCTTACGGAATTCAACCACAGCTGAATCGTTCTTCTGGATTTTTGTTATCTGCTTGGCGATTTCGACAACCTTAAAGGGAATGAACATATAAATGGTCAGTTAATCAAAGTCAGAATTCTACATGTTTGGAGATGCGAAACCGTTCATTCTTCAAAATTTCCATAGATATTGAACACACGCCCCCCATCCGTGAAAGATTATGTAAAAATTATGTACAAAAATACGCGCGGGAGTCCATCAGATAGTATTAATATATTATCTATAACAATGGAGTAGCTGAATTGAGGGTGGAGAGATGCGAAACCGTTCATTCTTCAAAATGTCCATAGATATTGAACACACGCCCCCATCCGTGAAAGATTATGTAAAACTTACGAAAAAAATACGCGCGGGAGTCCATCAGATAGTATTAATATATTATCTATAACAATGGAGTAGCTGAATCGAGGGTATTTTACTGTGTGATAGTTGCCCGCGAAAAGTGTACGTTCCAAAACAAATAGTTTCTCGAGAACGCAGTTCGAGGGCGATTGGACATTGAAGCTTTGAAGAACATCAAGTTTACAAGGGCAAATATCATAGCAAAATGCCCGAGATTTCAGCTGCTCTATTGTTTACATCATTTCAACAACCAAAGTTGTCTGAAGCGGCGAGCTCTATGCATTGATAGTAGCCCTTCGCGGCGAGCACTATCGCGTCACGTGGTCGACTTCCCACCAATAAGAGAGAGGAGGAAAATATGCTGTTGAATCATAAATTAGAATAACGTCTTATGGGTTGATCAACTCATAGTATACTCGACATTGCGGTCTAATACTCCAGTTTCGAATTCATAGCGAATAACCGCTGCTTTATTTGACARMASATTSWMTTGCGCAAAGACCTTACAAACACAAAAGAGAGCACGAGAAAATGTCGTTATTACAATAGACTTGAAAATTTGCATTTTGAGTTGAGATTATCCCTGCATTCCCATTAGACCTAAGGTATGAGCAGGGTTAGCCTCAACTCGGGGAAAATGTAGATTCTTAGCGCTCTATTGTATTAACAACATTTTCTCGTGCTTTCTTTTGTCTTTGGTAAGTTCTTTGCGTAAGAGAATCTGCTGTCAAGTAAAACAGCGGTTATTCGCTTTGAACTCGAAACTGGAGTATTGTTCGTTATACACTACTAAACACTGTCTATTAGTAATTACTTCACAGTCGGATGAAACCTCGTGGTCATACTAGTCAAATTAATAGCCAATACGACGTAGAAATGCCTGTATATTATTGTATTAATGAACTCATTAAACCCGTGAAATAAAATTTTAAGTAAAAAAGATACAAAAGAAACTAGTCAATTAGAGTGTAGAGTGCAACTCTAAAAAATAGCTCTAAATCCCTTCAAAATCACACACATCAATGTTAAATAACATCAGCAACACATGAGAATAAGGTAAAATGTATTTTATTAAAAAAAATTGAATCAAATGCTTTGCTTGGGTTGCCTGTGCGTAAATGTTATCGCCCTGAACTGTAAAAAATGTGAAGAAACCCAATGAATTTGAGTTGTTGTTCAGCACTCACGCTATTTTAGACATTTTATTGTCAAAATGTTGATACTTGATGTTGTGTTTTCGGATAAGGATGGATTACTCTAGCTTGGTTGCAAGTAGATTTACTTCAGTACAAAACTTACATCATGGCAGCCATTTTTGAACAGACGTATTATTCTAATTTACATAAAGTATGCAAATGATACAAACCGGAAGTGAAATAAGAGGAAGTAAAACCATAACACTTGATATATAGAGGATATTACATGGTCGCTTGGAGAGTGAGCGTAGCGAAAATACACAAAATTTTAGAAAAAAGTGAAATATAACAATTAACATTAGCATAAAGGACTTATTATATTTATTTAGTGTATGGCGTGATCCACATTCCAGGTGAAAAAAGCCTCGCTAAACAGAATCGACCCAACAACAATCGATGTTCGCATCCGAAACGTCGGATACTTGCGTGGGTTTTTTTTTTCTAAATACTTTCTCTAAATCATTATTAGTTAAAGTTTATTGTTGAAATGAAGGAATTACAGCGATGGATGTTTTTTCTTCGCATTTATGAATCATTATATATGAATAGAAATAACTGTGTAAACACAAAATTAAAGCAAGCGGTTAGATATATAGTTTCCAAAAACAAAAGAAGCGACTAATTAAAAGTGCGGTGACAGTTCGACGTGATCCACATTCCGGGGGAAGAAAGCCTCGCTATACAGAATCGACCCAACAACAATCGATGTTCGCAGTGCTCTCTCAGATATTTCTCCACGAACAAACCCAACAGTCCTGCCGACAACCTACAAACTGATATGCTCACTTCCATATACCCAAGAACTCTTCCAAGTTTCCTGGAATCTGTGATGAGGTCGGACGCTAATGAAAAGCAGTGAACACTAAGGCAACCTTTAGTCACTCCGAAGGTTAAACACAAGATGAACATAATGTACACGTTGTCTATGTAGTGAAACCACGAAATAGACAGAAACACTAACACGTGACCAAAAGACAATAACACTAAGATCCACACACGACGGATCTTAACGATATCCAGAAAACCAGGACAACAAAGGGACACCACAGATAACTCCATCCCTCCCAGCATTCTGCCACCATCGGTCACGAATTGGTAATATTGATAGTGATCCCGAGGGGGGAAGGGAGAGGATTGAAATGTCACAGTAGAAAGAATAGCGGTGAATGTCATATCAAATAAAAACGTTTGCATTCCAATGTAGTAAATAAGAAGAAATACACTGAATGAGGTCTTGAGTTGCTGACCAATGCTCGCTTTTTCAGAATTCATGTATTTAGCTTGAGTGGGTGAGTTAAGATTATCATTGTCTTTGTCGTCAAATGGTTGATATGTAATTTCCTTTGCAATGTTGTCGTTGGCTTTCAATGGTTCCTTATCGAGCAGTGCATAAATCAAGAGCGGCAGCAGATAAAGAGGGCTTAAAATGGCCATAGCAATACGAGGTGAAACACATATCCATGTCGTGAGCCCTGAAAGAAAACAATGAGATTTGAATTATCGAATGGACAACCATGACTTTTTGGTGACATTTTTCATGTTTTATTCTTTATTCTATCCAAAGCGGATTATTGTATGCAAGTTTCCAATTCACTTGGTTTTCGAAAAAAACATAATAGACTAAATGAATGTTTTTTTTTTAGTTGGGATTCGAACAATATCGAGAGAATCCTCTCCTCTTTAGACTTTTTTATGTCCTGCTGAAATTAGTTTCCTTTAAGAAAACCTGTTCATGCGAGAGCGACCAATGGAAATTTGAATCAATTGCTATCAAATATTAGTTACCGAAAACGGAGGCATTACAGCCCGAGGGCCGATATAGCGTAATGCCTCAGTTCTCGGTAACTAACTGTTACGTCTTGAACAACACCCATAATAAGTCCATTTGGGGGACTAAATACTAACCAGTCTAAAAGAGAGAGGCCACGGCTGTCGCAAGATTGGCACCACTTCGATAAACTCCAGCAGATTCATTATAAAATCCTAGTAGCTTCACCGAAGTAATCGTTCCCAAACCGTTGGCAAATCCAAGTACACACATCCCAGCCAGTCTCACGTTTACCATATTGGTAAATACGAATATCATTTGAATCCCAACAAGCATGGAAAAACAGAGGATGAATGCTGGCAGGAATGAGATTCGCTTCACAATCCATGGACTGACAACAGCTTGGCTAAAGATGTCCGGAACAGTGAAAGTAATCATAACGATTGACTACAAGGAGCCAGCTAAGATATCTTCCGTCGCTATCCACATTATTAATCGTGGGCAGTGCACCCATAAACCAAAACCAAACCAATAGAATTTCGTAAGACGGCCGTTGCTTGTCATCTTGTTTTTGTAAAATGCGCCTTGAAGTGACAACAATAGCCACAATAATATGTTTTCTCGACCGTGGAATAAAATGCAGTCTTGTTAAATTTATGCAGATTCAAGCAAGAGCAAAAATTGATTTTTTTTCTATATAAAAAAATCAACAACAAAAACAAGAACATATTATAACGATTTAAACGTTACTCCAACCTAAAACTTTTATTTACTATGTCGAGCTTTCGGCTATCAAGACTGATGTTACAGTTTACAAAACAACATAAAAACAATGAGCGCGCGCCGCTCAGAGAAGATCAATTAAGTAACCAGCCTTCAGGCATGTTTACAGTACCCACGACAGAAGCATCAATCAGAATTTGAGTTTTAAACTGTTCACTGTTTTAAAAGTATGCATCGGAAAGGGTTTTCTGAGATCTACAGGGATCAGGGATTGGATTGCAACATGGAATACAATGCCATTTCAAGGCACAACCGATCGAAGCTTCAGAAATATCAAACTCTTACATGACATCTGTACGACTTATTGGCTTCTCGTTTCCATGAAGAGCTTATGTTTTGACGGCAAATCTTATTTAACTTATTAAAATGCTGCACTATTAGACGCTTTATATCAGTATTCATTTAATATTCGCTTTTCATCAAACCCAGTGTTTTTATCATCTAACCATTCGTTTTTCGATCTAAACTCTCATTCATTCGTTTATATAAAACTGCGCGCGTGTTTCTGTCCCCTGTCTCCTCTGATGTAAACACGGTGGCAGTTGAAAAACACGAGAGAAGCAAGCTTAGAAACACGAGCGTAGCGAAAATTTTTCTGCATTTTTCGAGCGAAAAACAAAGTTTGCCGGTAAGCCGTGTTTCTGTCCTCTGATATAAACACGGTTGTCAGCCAATCAGAGCGCGCGTTAAATATCCGGAAATTTTATTATAATTCATAATGCAACCTCCCATCCAGCCATTTACACATCCAAACATCCATTCGTTGTTCATTAATTAATTCGTTCTCCCATCCAACCTCCCAACCACCCATTTATTCAATTATTTACACATCTAACCATCCATTCGTTGTTCATTAATTAATTCGTTCTCCCATCCAACCTCCCACCCACCCATTTATTCATTTATTAATACATTCGTTCACTTAATTTCATCCACTTTTTTCACTTAATTTGATCCACTTTTTTCACTTAATTTCATCCACTTTTTTCACTTAATTTCATCCACTTTTTTCACTTAATTTCATCCACTTTTTTCACTTAATTTCATCCACTTTTTTCACTTAATTTCATCCACTTTTTCACTTAATTTCGTCCACTTTAAAAAAATAACTTGTTGTACCTTTGGGTATAGTATATCTAGCATTTTCCAGCCCAGATCATGCACATGGTCAGGTGTCATGTCGTTGGTCGTAAAGTACGGCATAATCTTCTCGTATGCAGTCGAGCCATTCAGAATCATATTTGTCATGGGTAAGGTGGGGTCAGTTGGTTTCGATGTATCAGGAACGCCATTGTTATAAACATACTTTACAGGGAGTCCAGCTAAACCGCTGGCCACTGAACTTGGGACGCAGTGTGATTGATATTCGTTTTTGATATATCTAAAAAAGAAAAGAAAAATTAAGGGAAAGAACGACTTTATCAGTCTCAATGTAATTAGAGAGCGGATTTCTTATGAGTGGGAAACGGACCGTATTGTACGGTGACCGTAATCGTACTGTAACCAAATTCTAGTGCCCCATTGGTTCACCAAAATTGTGCAGGCCAGGTCTGGTAACTGTGCGGTAACCGTGCGCTAACGGTGTCCCACTCATACTGCTACAGGCTATTTCGTTTGACCTTATCATCTCAGCAATTGGTTTCCCGATGTATTCAATCAAGTACTCCGTGACTGACTCATTAATGTTTTTCTTATGAACAGATTTCCATTCTTCTTTGACTTTTGCCGTTAAGTGTTTGTAGTATTCCGGAGATACAGCCATACGTGCATACCATTCTTTCAGTACACCTTCAAATAGAATGAAATAGTATATAAATCAATCTGGAAAATCATGACCAAACTACCAATGCAGTGACCAACCCCTCATGTTCATTTTCACATCATCGATAGATTGGTGTCTGATTATATGTTTTCCTAAGTTTGAGCGAAATCGAAGGAATATTGAGAGTTTTATGATCATTTGAAGTTGGTATTTTTGGAGTAAAATAGTGACACTCAAATCGCCGGTCAAAGTACCACGTGACCTGACTTGTGACGCAATGCTGTTGACAAGAACTCATGCATTCCTGCACAAACAGCTGTCTACAACTAACTAGAAAATGAATGAAAATCTCGAAAACAAACGTCGTGGTGGGCGCTAAGTTCGCTGGGCACAAAGCGTTGTCAACAACATGACGTCACTGCTCGCCCCAGTCCCAGACCACTTTTTTTTTAATCACCAAACTTTGAGGCTAAATTTTCAGTGACAAAAAATCACAAACTGCTTAAAAAACCTTAAACTTTAAGAAATGTTAATTGATATATAAGTCTTTTAAATTAAATAAGAATTGCGAAGACTTCATATGCACTTTAATGGTCCTTCCACTATCGAAAACAACAAGCACAATGTTGTGATTAAGACAATTTGCGATAGCACGGAGCACTTCCTCGAACTTAATAGCAGTTCTACTCTTTGCCGAAGCGTCTTTTCAAGCATCACTGTCGCAAGCAATTGGGGTATTTTTTTTGCAATTGTCGTACTGTCAAACTCAATATTTTATTTATTTATTATATTTAATTCATCAGTATTTCAGTATCGTCGTCACAACAGATAGTGCCATGAACAACAACGACAACAGCAACGACAACCAAAACAACAACAGCAGAAGCCACGTCGATATCAAAACAAAAGCAAAAACAGCAACACTTCAACCACATCAACATCAACAACAACAACAACAACATCCCCACCCACAACAACAGCATCAAGAACAAAAACAGCAACAACAAAAACAGCAACAAGAGGAGAAAATTATTTTGTGATCGTTTCGTGTGGCTCTATTGTAGTGGACGTGCACACAAAGATAACGGCACTAGTTATCTACACGTTAATTTTGCCTTGATAGACAGCTTAAAGATGGCTTAACAATGAAATGTTTCTCTTATACATCAACAGCGAATTATCATGCTATTGAATATCTATAGTTAAACCCTCATAAAACATCGATTTGTTGACCTTTTGACATCGTTTATCGGACATCAAAGAACAATTTACAAAATTTCATGCAATCATGTTTTGAATTTGTTACGTTCGAAAAATATATCTTTGGAAAAATAACTGACTCTCTGATTTTTAGTAAAAACAGAAAAAAAACCCTTAAACGTTATTTGGAACACCTCTAATAAAGTACATGCCAGAAGATGAGTGTAAGAAGAGTATATTAGATGTCATCAACTTTCGTCTTGGGTAACAGACTCTCGCAGATACTTTATTACGGCCCAAAAAATGTCCGTAACAACGAGAATTTTCTGAAATGGCTTGTTCTTCTGTTGAATTAAACACCTCAACTTCCACTATAAAGTGTTTTTTTTTATCAATCCATCCAGAAACGTTTTAAGGAACAATACATGCCAAAACTAAATGTGTTCTTGTGTTCTTATCAGCTTGAGAAATTTTAGAAAATTTGAAAGTTTTTAAAGATGAAATTCAGTACAAGACTAATACGGTAAACGACATTAAAACAACGATTTTCGTACATTTGACAATTGAAACTAAAATTTGACGCCGCAAATATCATTTTCGATTATTGTCCCAGTAGAGACGTGGAATGCCGTGATCTTCACATTGTTGGAATGATTTCTACAGTTTGTCAACAAACACTCTAGCGCGTCGCTACCACACAAAAAGAATTAGCACATTTCAATTTTAAGCTTTGACCTTTACTGTAAACACAAGGGAATGTAAATAAAAAAATTCCATAGATAAATATTGAGTGGAAAATCCATTTCAAGAAAGTTTATCGACTAATGTCCTTTTTCAATCTAATCGGCTTGTTTTCATTATAACGTATCCGGGGTCTTAATCTTCCTGGATGACTGATTAACCATATGCTCATATCGATCAATAATCAATACATTTTTTTTGTCGAAACGATGGCGCATATGTTTCTTCATTCCGGTAGCTGAGGTTTGCATAGCGTGACACAGCATTGAATTGTCTCTTTGGCATTGAAATAGCATCCAGTTAGGAGATTATACACAGTTAAGGAAGTTAAGGATTTTGCATTTTTAAAATGTAAAAAAATATACATATTCGGTATAAAAATGCAAAATTAAACCTCAATTTTTCAACATCAACAGTATTTTGTGCGATTAAATAAAGTAAACTTTGTTATTGAAATTCCATACTACGTCCAAGTGTCGGTTTGACGGTACTTTATCGATTGATGTGATTGCGCTATCTCGAACTGAAGTTAATCATCATCAGAACCTCATAAGACTGTTAATTGAAATTTAGTGTGTGTAATTATTGTAGCCAAAAAACATTGATAAACAAAATTACTCACCGGTTTCACCGTGAAGCGAAACGTTGTAGTAACTCCTTGAGATGGCATCGTAGCCCGCTTTACATTCTTCAACACTTCGCACCATACCTTTTTGAACCCCTAACTTGATGTTACTGACATATTGCTCAAAGGCAGCCTTGTGGTCTTTCAGTGTCTTCAGAACAAGCTCTACGTCGGAGATACTACTCGGCTTGAAATGAGTCAGAACGTTGTAAATATGATAGCTCACAAAACAAATAGGCTGCCAACAGAACGAATTAGGTCCCTGCAGCCAATCTCCGGCATAATAATTGACAGTATAGGGTTCCCCGAAGACATGAGCTAAATAATGCTTCATTTGAGCAAGGGCTCTACGTTCTCGTGGCTTGAGTTTGTTGGCGTCGATTTGTTTTTCGTTTAACTGTTTAAGAAGCTTGAAGGCCGTGTCTGTTCTGGTTTTGATCATCTTTGGTGATGGATCGAACACTGAAAACCTACTCTTCGCTTGGTCAGGGGTGACAACATCAGGGTCATAGAACGCGTTGTACGGATGAAGCTTGTAGTAAGTCTTTCTGACATGATCTAAAAACTCACCGAGTCCAACTCGATTTGCTTCTTCGGAAAACGATGGATCGACTCTTGTTTTATCGTCACACGCAGCTGCCTTCTTTTGGCTTGCTGTGGCTATTAGTACTATACCAACGATCAGCACAATCACACCAATAACAAGAATCACAAATGCTAAAACTCGTTCTCGAGTAAACGAAAATCCTTTTTTCTTTGGTAACGAGTAAGTTACATCGTCTATAGGTTTAATCAAAGCTGGATCCTTGTTCGACATGTTTGTAGTTTGGATAATTATTCCTAACTCACCATGAGATTTCACTAGTGAATGCCTGAGTAACAATGACCATCTAATTGCTTTTGTTATCAAGTTGCATCGACATGGGTCATCGACATGTAAATCTACTCCGTTTACGTCTGCGCTGTACTTACCAATCATATACCACTTCAGTTTGACAAAATTGTACATGATCGAATGACGAGTTTGTCTGTCAGGAAGAAATAATTATGCATAATGAACTTCGAATATTATGGCAATACCGTAACTGAAAAAACTTATGAAAAGTTATTATAAGATGACGGCAACACAGTATTATGTAATACCTCGTCATTTTGTGTCTCAAATAACAATCAGTTTGCATCTCAGCCCATAAGAACGCGCGAAACAGAATTTAATAGATTTTAATGATATTCAAAGTGACAAGGTTTTTTCTAAGTTTAACCCAGTTATAGAATAGCCCTTGGGGATGGAGAAAGCCGTATTTTACAAACATCGTTTGGTGAAATAAAAGAATGACTAACCTACCAGAATGTCATCGTAATCATGAAACAACTAGAATATTTTATTTTAGTTCGAGGAAAACCGATCACAACAGAATTTTAAAATAATTGAATACCTTTTTCAGACATATACCTGTTAAAAAAACACACACCTGTTAAAAAAAAACACACACCCACGCGCACACAAAAACAAACAAGAACAAATACAGACAAAGCACAAAACAAAACAACACAAAAAAGCAACGCTTTTGATAAAATAAAATCCAGATAAACAAAACAAAATAAAAATAAGAAAAATATAATAAGTTTAGATCTTGAAATAAAGTTAATCAAAAAGACAAACGCAACTAGATTCATTTTTGCGACGTTTCGACATCCTCTGATGCCATTCTCAAGCAATTTTCAATTTATTACAACTGAAGAGCTATATATACACATGAAACAATAGAGAAAAACAATAAGATAAAATATACAAATGGAGGACAAATGGTTTAAACATCTCTAAGGAAAATCTCACCAAGCTATTACAGATAGC